GGATGCTGTGTGGAAGAGAGATCTTTCCCAAACAAACTATTACACATGGTATATGCCAAGACACAATTAAGCCACCTCCACACTGCTACTGTCAGCCTGTGACATCGTCACGCTTCGTGATTTTTACCTGACAATATCGATAAACTACTTGTAAGCTGTGAAGGACAAAAAGATGAAACGTATTTGAAAATGGTCAGACATTTGATCCTTTTTTAACTTATTTTAAGGATATCTGTATATCTTGTTTATTTTTTCTACTTATAGCTTTACTTCTTTTGGTTGAGAATACTGCTCGGTAAAACTGCTCACCTATTGCTACTTCATGGTTTGTGGTTTTCAGTTTTTTATTTTTGCTTTATTTTTTTCTCTAGTGCCTTGTCTTTAAAATGTTTCGAACAAAATTTATTAACTGCCACTGCTGTTTACCTGATAAGTGGTCACGATTAGTGATTTCGTGTTTCAAAATTATTAAGTGTTTTGTTGCTAATTTATTATGGTATGCATGTATATTCAAAACTATTAGCTAATGATCCCCCGCTAGATCGTCACGATCAATGATTTCAGAATTCAAACACCAATAGCAATCAACAAGTTTTTTCAGCTTGTGAGTACGTAAATGATAAAAAGGATGCTATTTGTTCAACATTTTTGAAGCCTACGTCACTTAAGTTAGTTTGCTGCCAGAACTGAACACCTGATAAGGAGTGACCTTTTAGGGACAGATGGCCTTTTTTGAACTTTGGTAGTAGGTATATAAAAGTTGAGGGCCTTTTAAGGAGAAGTAATGTTTTTATATTTAACAAAGTTGCCATATTTTTCGATTTCTTATCCTTTTTATAACATAGGTTGACTTTTGTTTTGGTATTTCTCTGACATAGACTGATGTAAGATTTATTCTATGACACGAAGGTGAAACAGTTGTATGGACTTGTATAAAGACATTTAAAATTGATTTTGTTTTGGTTTTGAGGTGAATTCCTTTCTCAAAATGTGAAGTTTTTTCTTATGCACTCTGTAGACCATTTTAGCTTAGCCCAAGAGTTACTTAGGACAAAATCCCTCCTCAGTTTATATCACACCCGCTTCAGGATTTTTAATTCTATAGAAATGCAGTGTTTTCACAAATTCTACGTCAAAAAGTGGTATAAATTATAACAATAATAAAAGATGCACCACTATTTGAAGAAATATTTACTTTATGTTGGAAAAATCTGGCAACCTTTAACTATACACACGTACTTTTCAGAGAGAGGTGATGTATGCACTATACCACGGCAAGATCAGTTTTTTCTTTTTGTTAAATCTAACTCAAGCACATTTAAAAATGTTGCTGAGGTGAGCTCAGTATCCTGTCCTGACTTATGTTTGCCTACTGACTTATTATGCACAAATAACCCTTTGAAAAGTGATGCTTGAAATATAAAAAGGAGGATAGAACAACTTCGAACTCACTGATTGGTTTGCGATACTTGGTTCGTGATGTAATTCAGAATGTTGTGAATGAGTGAACGCCTGAATATGATATATGACTTGAGTTTAGTTTGCTTAAAATTCTTACTTGCCCTATAAATCGATACGCTGACGGATTTTTACTTTTCGTGTATATTTTTTAGAATTTACACGCTCTGTGAGTGTTCCATGAACCAATGCGTTTATTTTATAAAGGAAATAATCGCTCTTGGTGCGTGTTACAAATGAGTTCCCGAACACGAGCTACTGTTGAATTTTCTGCCCACCTAATGTATCGTCATGCCTTATGATTTCGAACTTCGACCTTTCGCCTTGCATTTAGACCGCCTGCTATGAGGCAAGGACATTTTATCCTGTTGAAATATATGCTCCAATGCATTTTTAGTTACGCCCCTACATCAAAATTTTATACACCCGTTCCAATGTCATGCTATGTGATTTCTTGGGGTTGGTCTTATACACATAACCTCAGGCATGTCTCGTGCCATATTTCTAAGAGATATGTATGAGTAATGTATGTTGCAAGGTTTATTTTTGAAAGGATGTTGGTATTTAAGTTTGTGCGTGTGTTTTTGTATGCAATAATTGCATAGATACTACATAATCGCCTGTTTGCCTGTTAAATCGTCATGCTTTATGGTTTCAGGTTTCGATTCTGTGTAGTTTTTTTATATTATCGCTTTGTTATTTGTGTGTATGTTCTATGTGATAAGTGTGGTTTTGAAAGTATTGTTATTTTCATTTATATGATTTTGCTTGCATTATTTAAATGTTGTTGCTGTTTAATGAAACAGATCACTCTAAAATAAACAAATCTTTTCATAGAATCGCCATTGCATTCATTTATATAGAATTTACTTGGAAAGTAAATAGAAAGCATTTGAAGAACTTCAACCTCTTGTCAATCCTTGCAGCATTGAATGAAGTTTACGTCTTTGCAGCTGAGAGAACCTGTTGTAGACTTAGTAACACTAATAATGATTGTCTCATATAAAAAATCTATTCATGGATTTCTTTGGGGGTTAGCTACTCTTTGTCAGCTTTCCCCAAATCTGTTTTTCTCTAAATTTTTTAGTTTTTGTTTTGAAAAGGTAGTAGCTACTTTATAATAGACCAAAACGAAAGTTCTCAAATTCAAGATGTGTTGTTGACAAGATGTTCGATTGCTTGTGTGTAATATTTTATGGATTTGTAACACGTACAATTCTACATTTCCTTGAGAAGTGTCTGAAATTTATTAACTGGAAAGCATATTTGAATTGTTAGTCTAAAAGTGACTCAAGCAGTATCAGCAGATCGCTATCCTCTGCCAGTCTCAGCTGGCACGCTTGTGCTTCTTGTTGTTATTTTGAGGCCAGATATATAGACCATAAATATCACCAGAGAACCCACGCAGTTTTATAAATATAAATTATATCTTTGAAAGTCCAAATTCGTTGTCATTAAGTGTAGTTTGCTTCGATGAATGACTAGAGAATTGCGCAGTTTAGAAGAAGGAATTGATGGCGATTTTTCGTGCAGATTTTTGGCAACCGAAATGTGTCTAGTTAGAAGTAAACAGAATGAGGTTAGTTAGAGCAATTTTGAATTTTGATTTTAAGGAATTTCATCAATCATTTTACGAATTGTGGCAGCTCGGCCAAACGCCTGACCCTGTCAAAGATGTGAGAGCCAACGATAAAAATATGTAAAATAAGGAAGTCGGCGACAGCAATAATATTTCTGACCATAAATACGACTGTAAAAGTGTAGAACAAGTTCAGCAGATGATTTCAAGTAGTCAAGTCACCACTGTGTGTGAAAATGTCACGGCAGCTGCATTTCGATTTTGGACAGCAAATTCACTGAAGCATCCATCCGCTCAAGCCCATTCACAGTCAATTACTCCAAGTTGCTATGTAAGTAAGAGTTTATGTCGGTGTACACCAATTTTTTTTGTATAGATGCTGTAGTTGAAGCTGCGCACCTAATATTTTGTCACGCTCTTTGGTTTCAACTTAGGAAAAGTTATAGGAAAATCCTAAACAAATAAATATGTTGAGAAATAATAACAATAAGTCGAAAGTGAAAGGCGTCGCCACTTATGCACGGCTGGAGCATAGAGGTTACAACGGTTGCTGGTTTTTGTAGTTCGTCGAGTTTAGGATGAAGGCTTTGGGAAATCTACATTCATGTTAGCCTAGTAGCTGGTTCCACTAGTTGATTTCGAACTAGTTCCCACGATCATGATAATGATGCGGTAAGAAAGAAGTGGATTTTTATAAGGAGATGCTTAAAGTGTTCAAGTTCGTGGTATAATTGATTGAAAATTTGAGAAACTCGTTGAAAAAAATAATTAATATTAAAAATATATAGAAAATTGTTAATAAGTAAAATATAAATAATTAAACATAAATGGAATTTTCTACTATATTAATTTTTTTATTATTATTTCTTTTCTTTATCTATTTATTTACTTAAACAAACAAAAAATATATAAAATAAATATAATTAAAAATAAAAAGAAAATTATAAAAAAAACAACTGCGATAAATACAAATTTTGTCTTCCAAAAGTATCGATTTTCCTTAAAACCATTTATAAAAAAATATTGAAAATAAAATAATAATTCGGTAAAATTATTGAATTTCAAAACATATTTATTCAAAAAAGTATAAAAATATTTTTAAAAA